CCTCTCCAAAGGTGGAGAAACACTGATATATGGTAAGTACATTGAAAATAATTTGCATGATGTTCTTTGGACTTCCCACAACTGCAAATCCAGCTGGTCTCTCCTAAATTCATTAAAAGAACCTGTCGTTTTTCAGACCTGACCCCCCAAAAAATTCTTGCAGCTGCTTTAAGAGTTGTTTTAATTTTAATTCAATTAACTTTAGTTTCTTAAAACAGCCACTTTTCAGGCTGCTGCGAAAGCCGTAGAAATGACAGGATGTTTTGATGAACAGCAGGAAGATGCCGAGCTCACAACTGCGTGAAGCCTGCTACACCTTTTCTAAATTATTTTCGTGGTGCATCTCACGTGGTGCAAATCTTTGGTCTTTCTTTCATCCCCAGAAATTTGGGTGTGCCTTGATGGAGATGAAGAATCCCAACTCCGGCTTGGAAGAAAACAGGTAAGGGTGACCCGGCCAGGTTGCTTCATAGAATTCCTTTGCAACTTGGAACAGTTTCTTTGATTTTTCTTGCTTCCTTCCTACGTGCTGGCCCAGGGAGAGGCTGTCAGAGGACAGTCAGCTCCCATCCATTTGCAGATTTCCTGGATGAATAGAAGACTTTGACGTACCTCTCCTTTTGGCAGATAAAGATCCTAAAATAACTCTTTTCTAAGTTTCACCAGGAGACTCGCTAAGTTTGTAATTGCAGCTTGTGGAACGGGGGGCTTTGCTAATAGCGAAGGAGATTAAGCCCCATCACACTCCTTTTTATTACGTGCATTAAACTGCCTATTGTCTGGGGCTCATTAGAAGAAGCAGCAATTTGCAAAATAATAAGTTGCGATGTGCAGAAACAACGGAGATTACAGCAAGATTTCTCTGCTTTTAGGGATAGGCGAAGGCTGACTAAATTGGGATTTGGCAACTGGAAATTCCAGCTCCCCTCCACCACCACCCCCAAAAAAAACTACTTTCCTGATTCCAGGAAACAGACACGTATCTTCCTAACCCAGATCTAAGATCCATCTAGTTCAGCTTCTTGGTTTAAGGGAAACTGTTGCTGGTCAACTCTTAATGCTTGTAATTGTGTGGACAGCAGTAGGGAAAAATGGGAGAATTCACTTAGCCACAGAGTTGTAATTTCAACAGAAAATGAGCATTACATTTCTCTTCTGGAATACCCTCTCTTCTCTCTGTTGCTGCACTCACACCGCAACTCTTTCCCTGATTAAACATTTTTGGGGATTTCCAAATTACATTGAACCATAAATTAACGGGGTTCCTACAACATGCTAAATGCAGAAAAACTACCCCAGCTTATCGTGCTGTGCAAATCCAGCCATTAAGTCCTTTTGTGAGGGTAGTAAAAATGTGCAAACATATCCTATAAATTGCTTTTTTTAAAAAGCTTCATAATTACATCGATCTGCCACCAGATGTCAGGTTTATACCACATTTCTTTGACCAGTTTCTTGGGTCAATTCCTTACACTCATTTTAGAGGCAAAATGATTTCTCTCCCTTTCCCCTTTTTAAAAATTATTACTCTATTTTGCTGCCTTTTCTTTTTAAAAAAATCCTAAGATATCATTGACAATTTATGATGATTTTGCTTTTAATTGTTTTAGTGGGCCTCGTGGCCTTAGAATTTGGACAGGATAGGACTATTTTAAATAATTGAAATAATTTTTATTATTTTTAAATAAATTTTAAAAATGTAAATATTTTAAATAAAAATTAGAGCATTCTTACACATACCTACTCAGAAGCAAGTCCCATTGAGTTCAAGGATGCTTACCTCCAGATAAGCAGACGTAGCAGTCCCCAGAGACTTCCACATTGTAATTGTTAATGTGGCAAAAGGGATAAATTATTAAAATCATGACTGGAGAGTAATAACCTTAACCTTAAGTGGTTTTGACTGAGTCTAAATCTCAGCGAATAGATCAAATTTAGCTTTTTCCTGGTTCCACCTGCAGGCAGGTGCTGGTGTGATGCTCCAAGATGAGTTCTGCACCCCAAGGATATAAGATGGTGAAATCAGATTTAGTCAGGAAATCATAAAATAGGGGAGAATTGCTACATTTTCCTATGAGTTCAGAGCCTCTTGCAAATGCTTTAAAAAAAAAATTTTCAATGCCCGGTTGCTTTAATTCTCCATCCTGTTTGCAGAAGCTACAAAGTACGCTTCAACAGTGTCTCCTCATATTCGGATGCTCGGAAATCTTCTATCGATGGACCCGAAGCCAGGGACAACTTTGAGAGTACTGGTCCTCTGGCCAACGTCAGGTGAGCAGAGAAGCTGTGAGTGGCTGCAGAAATCCAGCCTCTTGAGCAAACTGGGGGTGAAGGAGAACAGGCCAATTCAGATGTTCACCCACAATCTTTCAAATGTGGTGGTCTTGGAGGCAAGGATGACATTACAAATAGTCTTCAACTTACAACCACTCATTTAATGACTGTTCGAAGTTACAACAGCACTGAAAAAAGTGACTTATGACCAGTCCTTGCACTTATGACCATTGCAGCATCCCCATGGTCACGTGATCAGAATTCGGGCCCTTGGCAACTGGCATGTATTTATGATGGTTGCAGCATCCCAGGATCACATGATCGCCATTTGTAACCTTCCCAGGGGGCTTCCAACAAGCAAAGTCAATGGGGGAAGCCGGATTTGCTTAACAACTGTGTGGTTCACTTAATGACCACAATTATTTGCTTAATGACTGTGGCAAAAAAGGTTGTAAAATCAGGTGCAACTCACTTAATGACCACATTACTTAGTGACAGAAGTTCCAGTCTCAATTGTGGTCATAAGTCGAGGACTACCTGTAGTTTGGCTTTGGAGGCAAACTGTGTTCTTCCTGCCTCCACGCTGGCTCTGCTTGGATTCCAGAGGCTTGCTATCATTTCTGCATCGGCTTGCTTCTTTGCAGGTTCTCTGTCTTTGGGTTGGGCTCACGGGCTTACCCTCACTTCTGCGCCTTTGCCCGTGCGGTGGACACGCTCCTGGAAGAGCTGGGAGGGGAACGCATCCTGAGGATGGGCGAGGGGGATGAACTGTGTGGTCAGGAGGAATCCTTCAGAACATGGGCCAAGAAAGTTTTCAAGGTAACCTACACTTATCTGATGTTACTTGTTTTTATATCTTGGAGAGGAGAGGCTTTGAAGAGAGTGTATCAGCCTCTGCGCGACACAGTCACCAAGTGTCACCTTGGTCAGCAGCTTCCTAAACAAGCATGGAAGAAAATCGACCGTGTGTGTTTCAAAAGCAGGGAGAGGTTTTGTGCATGTTTGCAGATTCAGGGGGGTTTAGGGCACACTTTCCCGTGGAAAAGCAAAAATACGGAGGATACACGTGCTCAAACCCTGTTGAACAAATAAAGAGCCTTGCTCAGTCAGTCTGCTGGGATGAAGCAAAGACATTTTCCAATCCCCTGCCTTGGAAAATGCCATTTTTACTCCAGAGGAAGATGTCTGAATTTAAGGGAATCCCCCAAAGAGGAAAAGTACACAGGAAAAAAGTAAAAACCATCGCTCGCTGTCCCTTTCTTTTCAACGGGGGTCGCCAGCTCTGAAACTGCCCCTGTGTGCATATGTGCATATGTACTCTGGCCAGACACCCTGTTTGAAAAAAGGGGCAGAACCAGGACAAATATACAGTCAGGCCTGGAGTACTCCGCATTTCTATGTGCAGGAGCGAAACAAATGAATAGAGACCTCTGGGTGAGTGGCCAGCACAAGGAAATCTGTGCATGCTTACTCTGTAGGAAACCCCACTGAGTTCAGGGATTCTTACTCCCAGGTAAGTTTCATCCCTGTTCTGCCAGTTGATTAACCTCGTTCTCTCTCATTCCACATGCGGAGAGGCTGAGCATCAGCAAAGGGACCTCTGGGGATTCTCCAACACTTGGGATTCCTCATTTTTCTGAGTCCTCCTTTGTGGGGGGGCCTGGTGGGATACTTCTCCCCCCCTCTTCTTGGCTTTGCCTTGAGTGCTTGGTGTGTCCTGCAGGCAGCATGTGACGTGTTCTGTGTGGGAGATGACGTCAACATCGAAAAAGCCAATAATTCTCTCATCAGCAACGACCGAAGCTGGAAGAGAAGCAAGTTCCGGCTGACCTATGTTGCTGAGGCCCCAGAGCTGACCCAAGGTATTGTTGTGGGCTTCCCCAAGTTGCTGTCTTCCAGATGCCATCATTCTGAGGCAGCAGTGCCATTCCTCCCATTAGGCAAAAGGAACATGTGGGGATCCTTTCTTCTCTTGCTCCATCATTTCTCCAGCGTCTGCAGATCCCTTAGCTTCTCCCACTTCCATTGAATCCCAGTGGAGGACATTGTGAGGAAACCTCTCTCTCTTGTTCCCAGATTGGGTACTGTGGGCAGTCAGGGAAGGTGGCGTGATGGAAGGGCGTGAAGCAGAAAATAACACCGCTGGCGATAACCCCTTCCACCCACCATCAAGTCAGCCTCCAAGCCAAAAGATCTTAGAAAGACATTTCTGCAGATAAGATGGAGAAACAGACATCTGTTTTTTCAAGGGAGGGAAACCTGGGGAAAGATTGAAGGACAAGTTTCAGCTGAGTCTTAGTTGGACTGCCTGGGTTGCTTTTTTTAATGGTTGTATTCACTCTTGCAGTGATTCCCGCTCTTTCCAAAAGGTGCTTTGGAGCCCACAAGGCATGAACAAAGCGGCGATTCCTTAAAGAAGTTGTGCAACTCTGAGAAAGAAAGTTGTGGACGAATGCTCCACACATCTCCTTGGGCTCTGAAGCACCTTTTTGGAAGCCCAAATGAGGCACAGCTACAGCACTGACAATGGGGCAGGTTTTGATGATCGCCAGGTAGGAGAGGATTGGGCGCAAGCAACATCTGGGCATTTGCTGTCCTCCCCCTTGTATCAGGCTGGGGTCTCTTCACCTCAGGAAGCCTTTAGAAATTGTCTGATAGTGGTCTACTGTGCTCCTGTTACTTATGAATGCCCTTTCCTTCTCAGGTTTATACAGCATTCACAAAAAACGAGTCTATGCTGCTCGGCTTCTGGCACGTCAGAATCTTCAAAGCCCAAACTCCAGGTAGGAGTTGTGGGAGGAGATCTACCTCAAAAAGGGCATAAGAAGAGCTTTGCAAGGACTCCTACATCCTGCTTTCAAAAGTGGCCAATTGGAAGCTCACCAGTGGGGCACAAAAACTATAGCCTGTGTCCTTATTGTTCCCAGCCACGGGTGTGCAGTGATGCCCTGACCTCTGAATATGAAGATAATGTTTAGCCATCATTAGATGTAGGCCTGGCTCAAGCAAAAGATGGTTTGGTACAGATCAGAGATCCCTGTCACAGATACGCCATCCCGTTCATGGGACATGGCAGCCAGTGGTGTTCTGAAAGTAATGTTAGAGTCCAGATTTATTGGTCTTCCTTGAGGCAGCTTTTTAAGGTATGAAAGCATATTGCTCACATTTCAAGATGTGGAAAACTAGCTTTGCTTGCTTGGATGGCCTTCTATGAACCAAGCCATTGTAATGGTCTGTGGGAATGACCTTGGGAGACAGAGGGAAGAGCTGCAGACTAGGCCATGGACAGATAAGCGGTAGTTGAGCCTGCAGAAGGAATGGGGGCATGGGAAACGTCTCAGGAGGGACCCTCCCTAGTTTCTTGGACTGTAAAGGCAAGCAAGGAGAGCTGTACTTTCTGACTTGCAAGAGTGTTGTCAGCCTTGCAAGGTAGTCCAGCCAAGAAGCACACCCAGAGGTACTAACTCTAACTTTATTGTAAGGTTACAGTAACAAAATCTTGCAGGTGTCTGCACCCAGAAATTTTGTGCGCTCTGAACCTTCCCTTGTTTCAGCCGCTCCACAATCTTCTTGCGGCTTCACACCAACGGGCAGCAAGGGTTGCGTTACCTGCCCGGAGATCATCTTGGAGTATTTCCGGGGAACCATGAAGATTTAGTTAACACCTTGATTGAAAGGCTGGAAGATGCTCCTCCCACCAACCAGCTAGTGAAAGTGGAACTTTTGGAAGAGAGAACGACAGCTTTAGGTGGGAGCTGTTGTTTCATTCTTCTTTTTTTCTTTTTTTGACAAGTAAAAAATTAGAATTACAATTTAAAAAAAAGAAGAAAGGAAAGCAGTACAAAAATAAGTAACAAATAATCAGTCTGGAAGAGTTGCCTCATGTTTTGCTAACATTAAAATTAATTTATCTTACACATGGTAAAGTCTACCATTCCAAATGATAGAAATGATATTGCCCAATTATTACAGAATGGGACTTTGTTTAGTTCACATATAATCCACACAGAAATTATCACTTATGCCTCATTATTTTAAATTTTTAAAAACAGACTTAACTTTTAAAAATAAATTAATGATGTAAATTCTACACTTAAGGAAAATGTTTTGTTTTCCCATTCATTTTCTCTTTACAAAGTGTCTTTGATGTGGATTTATTTGTTATTAATCTATGTTTTTTGTTATTTTTTCTCCAGTACCTTAAGTGGAAACATGCCAGTTTCTTACTACTTATAGCTCAAGTGTTTTCCATTTAGTTTTATAACATTTCCAAGCTTTCTATATAAAGATCTGCTAGATAGGAGATGCATAGCATTATAATCAGCCAACATTTTTGTAGCCAATATGTCCTGTGCCTCTAAGATGAAACCTTAGAATATGTCTTCCAGAGTCATTTTACAAGGAATTGTGCTCCCAACTAATTCAACCCTTAATAGATAGACTGGACTGGCCATTCAGATCACTGGTAATTTAGAATTTTTCCTAAAAAATAAGCACACTGAAATCACCTATATAATAGCTAAAATCTGTACCCAAGTCATAAGGTTTCGTTTTGTTGAGACTCAACAACAGAAGCAGGCAACTCAATTATTGAGATGTTATTGTATTCTCAGTTTGTATCTGGTTGTTTTAATTTTTATGATTTGGACGGACTATAATAAAATGTTTGATGCATAAGAGGCACAGGCATATTTTAGAAGCAATTCTAAAAGGCAGGTAACTCTCCTCAGTTTTAATAGGAGACCTGGCTCCTTTCATTCCCTCTACCACTTCAGTGATTTCCATCTGAACAGCCCAGAATTGGTCAACCTATGAGCTTTCTGAATAGAGGCCAGTAGTAGGGAATATCTGTAGCTCAGGATTCAACTGTTGGGTTCTTGGTGGTGTCTGGGTTTGGTTGTTTTCCTGCAGATCTTTTTTTACCATGCTAGATAACATCATCAGTGCATAGAGAGCTCTCGAACATGTGAGCCCTTCAAAGCAGAACCTAACGTGAACTTGTGACATGGGGTTTGAACCTGCAGGTGTCATCAGCAACTGGACAGATGAGGACCGCCTTCCTTCTTGTACCATCTTCCAGGCATTCAAATATTATCTGGACATCACCACCCCTCCCACGCCAATTCTGCTGCAGCAGTTTGCCTTACTGGCCACCAACGAGAAAGAGAAGAAGCGGCTCCAAGTTCTTAGCATGGTAAGAAGGTGGTGGAAGGATGAATGATGGAACGTAGACATTGAGAAGTGTCAATTGTAATGTTTAAGCCTTATTATTACTATTATTATTGTTATTACTATTATTATTATTAATTATGCTCTGCATAATTATGCCGTCTTCTCTGACCTGTCTCCAGCCAGGTGGACACATTGTAAAAGGTGATTCCATTCCCTGGATCATGCCATTTCTCCTGGAATAATTTGTCTTCACCCAATTTAGTGACTGAGGGAATCCATTTTCTAAGTTTACAGTGAAGCCTTGATTGAATGGACTAATTATGGGAGTGGGTGACATTTATGAATGCCCATAAATTAGAGAGTAGCATGCCTGGTTATGTCATTCATGCGATGACATCATCAAACAAATGATACCATTTGCATAATGGAATCATTATGCAAATGGAATAGATTGGTGTAAATGGTTAAATTGATGCAAGTGGCATACATTTTGACATAATTGTGTAACCTGTGTCCTTTGCATCATGAGGTCATGATGCAAATCTCAGCAGAATTTTTTTCCATTATATTAAGGTGTAATAAATTGAGGTTTCACTTACATCAAACTCGAAGCTAACCAAACAGCCCGTGCACCTACTTTGTCACTCAGCATTTTGTGCAAACCCAGACCCTGATTATAGGGTATATTGTATAGGGCTGCTGGAACGTCTCTGTCTGGGGTGGGGTCCAGAATGGTACGTGTGGGGCAGACACGCAAGATGCTTTACCCGTTGTCTCAAAACTCAAAGTGTGTGTGGTATGCACATAATATTCCTGGCTGACCTGCCCAGTTGGGTTGCTGATTGTTGTCCTGTGTGCAAAGCCACCCCCCAGATGGAGGGGTCATCCACAGAATTACGGATTCACCATTTTGACTTTTCAGTACTGACATTTTTGTCGGGCACCTGTTTTTATGAAGCCCCCCTTCCATATCCTGAATGCAAGTCCGTGATGTGGGAATGGAGCCGAGATGGGTGGCTTTAAAAGAGGATTAGACAGATTCATAGAGGATGAAGCTGGATATTGGAACACCATTCTTTTTCTTTCAGAGGTAGCACATTGTTGTTATGGTTGCATCCTTTCTAGACCAGAAGATGCCTCTTGCTGATCCCTTTGGGAAGACCTTGTCGAACTCGATAAGCTGTCAGTCTGAGCCATACAGCTTGGCCGTTCTCTCAGAAAATCAAGCCCCAGTTTTTGCCTGGACCTAAACTAACTGCCTTCTCCTTCCATACAGGGCCTTCAGGATTATGAGGAATGGAAATGGTCCAAAAACCCCACCATGGTAGAAGTGCTGCAAGAATTCCCATCAGTCCAGATGCCTTCCACCTTCCTGCTAACCCAGCTCCCTTTGCTTCAACCTCGTTACTACTCCATTAGCTCCTCTCCTGACATGTACCCGGATGAGGTCCACCTCACAGTGGCGGTGGTGTCCTATCACACCAGAGGTAAACCGTATTACGGATGGCCCGGGAAGCAGAGTCAGGTCCAAACAAAGCAGGCCGAGCCCCAAATTAACAAAACTGTCTTGGCCTGATGATTATAGAGCCTCTTTTGAGAGCTGAATTTAGCAATGCACTAAGCTGGATGGATCTGCAAAACAAATGGCTGGTTATTTCTGTTCAGAAACATATGGTAGGGAACCTAAGGCACATTCAAACAAAGCAGCACCATGGAGAGCTCCAAATGGACAGATTGGTGTCTCCTGCTAGGTCCTATTCCTCTGATCTTTGTGTGAAAGACTTTTGAGGAAAAATCTCTGGGATGTTCACTGAGCCCTGGTGTTGTCCTCATCAACACTCTTTGTTCCTTAGCCTCTGTCACCAAGCCCAAGGTCACCATTGTGGTCCAGGATAATGGCGCAATCTTGCCAAGCACATTGTCCTCAGCAGAGACTAGCTCTTTGATTTCAAATGCAAAGATGAAAGCATATGACAAGCAAGGCTGTGAGTGGAGCCATGTCTGGCCTCAAATTTGACAGGAAGCCTCTGGTGGACAGCAACCAGGAGACCAAAGGAAGAAACGTTATCCAAACAGATCTGCTTGATAGACCCAAGTAGCTGATATTGCAGTAATAATGAAGATAATTTGTTTCAGTGCAGACAACGATATGTATCTGGGTTGTGCATTGCTTCATATTTGAGTCTAAAAGGGTCCTTTGGAGCACAGGGAGTAGGTGATACAAATGCAATACCTGTGTGCAACTTCATAATGCAACTCTATCTTTTCCTAGAATTGTGCTGTAGCTGTGACAGGTAGCCCCATAGTCTTTGGAGCAGAAAGATGCAGCTGCTTTAAGAAGTTGCAGGCAGGTGGTTCACTTACACTCCCTACACACTCCAAAGCATGGAACTGAATATTAAGTATCACAGTACCTTAATATATAGTACTTAGGAGATTTTGTTTACAAATACTATAAATATAGTATTTATACACTTTATGAGCCTATTGATAATGCCCCTAGTACCACTGTCTAGAGTGTTTGTAGGTTATATCCCTAAATCCACCTTCAGCATTAGAAAGTTGAAATCAGAAGAGTGAGGTTTTTTTTTTAAATGATAGATCAATTTTGATCATATGCATGTTTTAGAATCTATCTAAATATTATCCAACATCTTTTGCATCTTTTCCTAGATGGGGAAGGTCCAATTCACCATGGAGTATGTTCTTCCTGGTTCAACCAGATACAGGAGGATGAAGTGGTACCGTGTTTTGTTAGAGGGTAAGATGGGGAAAAGTGGAGATTCAAAAACAAAATTAGACCATTTGGGTTTCAGTCTGTTTTTAATCTTGCTGAAGTTTCCAGACACATCATATTATGTGTTGATCACATCATCAGGAGTCAGTTAACCCCTTATTTAGCCTTTGGCTGAAAACTCCCAGATGTTGTCTTGGTCAGATTAGAATCTGCATTACAGACGAGAATGATCCTCAAGCAAACCATTTGTTGCCCTCTGCACTGCAAATAACTGAACCTTCAAAAAAGATTCAGACCCAACAGGATGACCAGAGGATTAGAAATCATTCATTCATTCATTCATTCATTCATTCATTCATTCATTCATTCATTCATTCAT